GGGTTGATCGAAGTGTATGTATGCTTGAGGGGAGGGGTCGTGATATGCGTACGATGTGCAACTAGGGGGGAGGGATGGTCAATTTTCGACCAAATTTTTGCGGACGTACTTTGTGGATGACGCCAAAATTAACAGTACTGTTTGTATACGTAGTTTTGAAATATAATAATATGATCAGTTATATTAGTGTTATATAATATATAACATTATTATGTAACGGTTCAGGATACCTATTTTCAACATTCATTTACATTGTACTAAATATCATTAGTTTGCTTATTAAACTTTAATGTGTAAATAGTAACTGTAATATTGATAAACACATCAGGGAAATAATATTTTAATGTTGCTTTTATTTTTTGAACTTAAAATAAACGGTCAAAACAATTAAATGTTTGTAAATATTTTTGTATTGTATACAAGATAATTTATTCGTATGCTATGTTTAAAAAGGTAAGATAAAAGCATCATAAATAATCATAAATGTCCATGACCCAAATGCCAACCTATCGGCCTCGACCACCACGACGTCCCGGGGAATTGGCGGTGCCGTCTATATCACAATATTTAATAACAATAATACAATTCAATTTAAAATATTAAATATTTCAAATAAAATGTGTGTTGACTAACCGCCCCCACCTGTACCGGTACCGCCACCACCATTACCGTTGCCACCATTACCACAAGCCTGGTCCTCCTGAACCTCGTTGACACCCATATCCCCATCCGGGACCACATTAGCCGTGTCATCCGATTTGATACCAGCGCTGTCGCTAACCGACCACAACATCAGGATTACACACAAAATCACAATAACTTTCATATCTTTTGAGAATTATTAGAAATAATTATATTTTTATTTTAAAATGAATTAATAATTTTCACCACATTTTTGTCGCGAATTTATACCGTGTTTTGTTTACAAAAAGTGCAAACTTTCGTAGGAATTAACTTTTGTCTGAAAAATTATTTTTAATTAACCAATTGTTTATTCAGTGAAATGCACCTAATTTACAAAATAATAGTTTGTTAGTATATTATATCTCATACACTGATTTTTATAAGGAATTTGTAATTAAATATTTATCGAGAATCAGTTTATTTGCTGTACATAATGTACACAAAATTCGCATTAATATTCTGTTAATTACAAATTTATGTTTGTTGTTGTATAATGTAATTGTTTTCTATTCAAATAAAACATTTAGTAACTAAATTTTCGTTCAATATATTTCTAAGAACTAATTACTCAATGTAAATTAATCTGATCAACACGGTCAAAGTGTACTTTGCAATAGTTTTAATTAGGACAGTTAACATTAAATAATAATTTTATAAGTACATTTTATTGCTTAATCAGTAAAACAGTACGGTACATTTCATGATAAATATTATACAGATGATTATTAATATACATTTATGTTATTCTTTGAAATATATTTTCTAATTTAAACATTTATACAGCTACAATGTATCTGGATTTATCTGTTCATATCAATTTGTTTTAGTAATAAAATGGTTAATAAAGAAATTATCTAGAATTAAAAATAAAATATCTTGTAATTTTAATATTTGACTTAATTTGAAATGCTTTATATATTTACCTCATAGCATCGAGAATAGTTTACGATAAATAACTTCCAACAGGTAAAG